CTTACCTTCGTTAACGTCGGCTCCCTTCTTTTAGCCGATTCTTTCGCAGTTTCTTTCCGAGAGAGCTTTTGAAATTTACAAAATCTTGCAAAAATGCGAGCAAAAATGAAATATATTTGCAATAACTTTATCAATCATCAAATCAAGAAATGTTTGATTGTTTGCTATTTCGCTGTCGTCATGCAGTCGTTATAAATGGACAGCATCAAGTGACAAATTATCGTCGAATTTGATACGCTGTCCCACCCCGGGTAAGGCGTTATTGTCAATATGTATTGATTACGTCACGTCCACGATCATGCCCGAGCAGCGCTCAGTATTTTGAAAATATCCGAAATTGAGGAGGTTTTGGCTCCGTTCGTCGCTAAATTTGCCCAAGCTATGATCAAACCACTGACTCGTCCCCAATCGCTCGCGTTGGATCATGGGAATGGGTTAGGTTTCTGAGCGACTGGGAAATCCTGTATTCAAGATGGCGTCCATACATAATGGCGGACGCTATATCCAAGGAGCGAAAATTAGGGCAAAAACTTCTTAAAGGCGTTTCATGGTGCATAAAGTTGTCTATCCAGTTAGAATGTGTGGGAAATGTGTTATTTTTTGAAGAAAATGGATTACGAAAAGAAAAATATCGCGCACATAAGAAAAATATCACGCTGCAAGATATTAATTTAAAAATTCGACATTGACTATGAAACGCATGTATTGTATGGCGAAGAAACGTTGTGATATATTCAAGATCAGTATGAGAAAAAATCAAAGGCGAGTTAATATCATGAATAATTTCTTTTACAGTTGTTTCTTTACAGGGCTTGTTTAGCAAATTTTTGCGTCCTTAATATAAATATTTTTGTGCAGGGATAAAATATGGACATATTTTAATATTTGTTGATTTACAACTATTAGGTATTGAGTGGATGTTGGTTAAAAGTTTCCAGGGAACTGAGGGAATGAGATGTTAATGTATTTGCCGAAGATGCGAGGAAAGCTTCCAAAATTTACGGAGTAATAAATTCTGGGAAATGCAGACCAAAATAATCGATGCAAAATATCAGTTGGTATACCAAACAAACAATGGATGCAACACATGGAAACATTGAAGGGAACATTATTGTGGTTGAATGCTCTTTTACAAAGATAAACATAAATCGACATAAATATGAACCTAAAATAACTCAAATTTGTTCCAGCATGCCCCCCCTCCCCCGAATATAACCCCCCCCCTCATTGTCTTTATGTGTTATTAATACATGTTTATTTTCCTGTTTATGACTGACTTGTTTATTATATACTAACACAAGACTGAAAAGAGCACTCGTGTACTGAATAAGCCCATCAAAAATTGCTTACAAAAAAATATAAGCCAAGGGCTTATAGTCAGAGGTTTATGGTATTCTTGACTTGCAACCAACCCTTGAGAGTTAGAAGACACTTAAGAGCTGCCATTTTGGTGCCAAATTCAGTGAAAGATAATGAGAACCTTTTGAAAAAATGGCACCAACATGACTGTTCAGCCCACATAGCTACAAGTCAAGAATAGCACTCTCCTTCTTTTACAGTACATTTTTCTGGCTGGCAGTGGCTTATATAGCTTTAGCCATAGCTTTGTTATTAGCCTGCCTCGCACACATCCTTATGGCTCTGAGCCATTTAAGGATGTCTGCGATGCAGGCTACTTTGTTATCTGTGATAGTCTATGTTCAACCATAATGTTAATAAGAGGAATATAGACTTTTGTATGAATTTGTATGACAAGCAAAAACATAGCCATTAGACACAGAGATGAATTTACTGGGGGGAGTGGGGGTGCATTCCCCTAGCCCTGGCCAGAGGGGCTGCAGGGGGAGGGTGCTATTTTTCATGATAAAGGGAAAAATTATTAGAGACTAAATGAGCCGGATACAGTAATTTGAGTAATAACATGATGATAAGCGAACTGTGCGCAACAATTCAAATACAGTAGTCAAGCAAGACTTTGCAGTAGTGAAGCAAGTTGATGGGCTGGCGGCACACATGACCGACACAACTCAATTGTAATGACTTTATTAATTGTAATGACTTTATTAGCATGATCTATAATTACAAGATATTGCTAAAGTACTGTAGTTCCATCAATATAACTATTAACGTTCATAACTAACTAATAATAACATATTTTTTAACTTTATATTATTTACATATTGGTGATCACTATGAGAATATTTAAGATTACAAGATATATTACTATTTCAGGGTTTTAATTTAATATGTAGTGTCTATATCGGTTAAGGATTTTTTAAATTTTTTTTTAATACAATTTGTTTTAGGTATTATTTGTATTTCTGGCTTCAAAGTACTGATTCCGTTTTTCAAAACTAACTGTAATATATTTTGAAAAAACATTCAGTACTTTTGGATCACTAGATTTTATTATATTCACGAGGTTATCTTTTTTTGGTAGTCGAGTGTTTCGTTGCATTGTCTTTGTAATATATTGTTTGTGGTGTTTCTGTCTTCTCTGTAGTAGTTACAAGATAGTGCAAAGTGATATTCATCTTCAATTTCGTTTGTATCACAGAGATTACTTAAGCGTTGTTCACGGGGGATGTTGTGATATCGACCGTATTCAATCTGTAACTTATGACAACTTATTGGAAATTTAGTTACTGTTTTTCTTTGAGATGTGTTTCTTATAGTTGTAAGGTAGTCCTGTAACTTATATTCAGACTTAAATGTGCTGTAGAAAGAGAGTTTGGAGGAATTGTCTAACTTATGTTTCCAAAAGGTGACATATTTATTTTTAGCATTGCTTATAAATTGACTTTGTTGATGAATAATAATACATCCTAATTCATTTAGTTCATCATTTACGTTAGTGTATGATTTAAGTATCTTCATGACATTGGAGTAAAATCTGGGTTTATTCAGTTCATAAAGTTCTTTGGAGATTAGGAATGCTTGTTTCACATAGTGAAGTCAGGAAGGGTATTAATGTGTGCAAGGTATTTGATTATTCTTTTGTGTATGGTTATTAATAGAGGAAATTTTCCTAATTCACCTCTACAACGCCACATTTGTTGCTTTTCTATTAACTCCTAAGTATAGTTTGCAGAATCTGGAATGAACTTTTTCTGTTTCGGATTGATCCCATTTATTAAGATCGCTGTTAATGAATGCACCCCATACTTCTGAATTATATAGAAGTATTGGCGAGATAATACTGTCAAAAATTTTGATTGCTAGTTTTGGATTGAGTGAATGAAAATCAACTTTTTTCTTTGTGCTGAACATAGCATGTTTTGCTTTATCAGGAAGTTGTTTCATTGCTATGGTAAATTTCCCATTGGTTGTAAGTTTAAGACCTAAATAGTTGTAATCTTGTGTTACTTCAAGTATTTTGTTTGCAAATAGAAATTGTGGAGTTTGTTGTTTTAACATTGGTTTCTGGAAAATCATAACTTTAGTTTTCTTTAAATTAACCTCCATCATCCACTTATTGCACCAGTTGTTTAACTGGTTTAAACAGCTTTGGAGATTAGGAATGCACAATTTTCGATCTAGATAATATCAGATCGTCGGCATATAACAGACAATTCAGTTTTGTACCATTTGGGAGTGTGAGTGGGTCAGAATCTTTGTTATCAAGCAGTGATGGTATGTCGTTTAGGTATATGTTAAATAATATAGGACTTATAATACATCCTTGACGTACCCCCTTACAATATGGGAAAAAAGAGGTACTATGTT